GAAAATGAACTGTTTATTTTGAATTACAAGTTTCAATCAATTAAAACTGCTATTAAGGGAATTTTTAAATGTAATTCACATTTTAATGTTGTGCTATTTCAGAGTGAACATGACTTCCACTTCAGCATTATTAAATGTTAGTTTAGTGTTATGGTAAAATAAATCAAATGTGTTCATTTAAATGATCTAATCAAATACAGTGCTTTATCCGGGGTTGGCTTATATTCACTTTTAATGTTGTTGTTTTTTATCTGACAGAACAACAATATCTTAAATGGGATCTATGTTTTTAATAAACTCAAGAAAATTTCAAAGAAATCTCAAAAGAAATGTGCACTGACTCTATCTTAAAGGAGGAGAGGATAAGGAGACAATTAAAAGAGCATGTGTTGTAAGACAGCCGATTCTGCTGCTGGATCCTGTGTGTATATGTGGTGTGTCATTGTCAAATAACTGTATCATAACAAGTCATCCATTGATCAGCCATTGATCTACATTACAACTCCAGCCACTCAGGAGACAAGAACATCTACGAATCATTAAAATCATACATGTTTATTCACACTTCAGAGGTCTTGTCTATGAGTTTATTTGATTACCAAACAAACATTACAGAATATAATCTTAGTTGAACATTGACATCGCGTGACTGATAAAGCACCATAAAGACAGACTTCACCCTGCAGCATCATCTTTGTCATGATTTGATTAGCTATCATAAAACGTTCTTTTAAAAGTCAGTGAAATCTAAGAGTTTAATGAGAAGTACAGCACGCACGTTAGAGCACAGCATGCCTTTGAATTATTTGTGAAGGGCCCCTATAGCTGGTGTTTCGTTTCGATTCATTCCTTACACCAAGTTAATGCAAAGCAAAGGAGAATCATGCTTCTTATCGCTGTCATGAGGAACTCAGGAAAAGTCGTCATATTTACAACTGTGTCACATGATTCCCTCTAGCACAGTTTTTAACAGCATCACCATCATCGTGGTGAAATGTCTGTCCTGTGGTTTTTCAGTGGTTTGCTTCACGTCTCGTACATTCTAGCTGCACAGAGGTGAAAAGGGTCAGAAACTAAAATTCACACATTAAACCCACATTAACACATGACTACAAGAGGATGACACTTTAGTTTGGTTCCTTTTATTTTGAAGAAGGAACTAACTTCAAATATGAAAAAAAAAACACAACCCATAGAGGTAATTTTTAAGAACACAACTTAAAGAATAATCAGCTGGTCAATTAACTCACTTCATACAACAACCATCCAAACACTAAATCATGAAAAGTGTAAAAAAAAAAGGAAAAACACTCAGAATATTGTGTGAACAAAAAACACACTGGAAAAAAAGTAGTGTGAAAGGTCGCACTTATTGAATGAGTGGTCTCTGAGTCCCCCCACAAGACATTTTAAAGGACAAACACTCCTTTTTCTGCAGTGTGCTGAATTTGTATTTACCAACCTGTTCCATTTAGCTGGAGGCTTTTTTTCCATCTCTGAGTAATGTTCAGGGGGTTTGTCTTTAAAGGTGCTCTGCTGTGACATGTCGACTTGTTATTCAAGTTTATGGTACAGGAAGTGCAGGTATACACACGTGATGAAAGGGATGTGTCCCCTATGCTTGACTGTGCATAATATACTCAGTTTGTTTTGACCCTTCACCTTTAGTTTTTGATGTTAGTATTTATCTTGTCTTTGGGTGTGAATCTGAACTTGTGGTGCTGTGAATGGTGGTGTACTGTACCTTTATATGAATATTTGGACCATCAAATCTAGAGGCATAGAATAAGCTATATGACATGTTAACAAATATACATAACAACTAACATGGAGGTCATTTTGTCATAGGAACCCTTATAAGTTATTTGATTAAATGTTACCTTACTTATACTTAATATATATTTGTAATCTTTGCTTCTTGATACCTTTACCACACTTTTTTTGTGTCACTACATTTTTGGATGGGTAGTTATGAGAAACTCTCTTGACCCCAGGTTGGGAACTAATCATTTGAGAGACTTCCCCTTGCTGTGCTCCTTAAATGTGTCAAATTATCCACTAAAAATAATTTATACAGACTAATAGAAATCTGTTCAGCAGTGCTTTCTGATTGAGTGTTTTAACATAAAGTGTCCTAATTGTGTTTCAGAAAAGTATGTTCTCCTCTAAGGATATAATATGACAAAACTAGAAACTTTGAATTCTGAGAAGAATTGAAAACAATATTTGTTTCAAGTATAGAAAAGCAAATATTCACCGATGATCATCAGTGACGACCCTGCCACCAGCCAGGCCACTGGGTGTCTTTGTGCTTGTAGCTGTTGTCTGTGTGTTGTAGGGGGGTGTGTCCTGGCTGGAGTCTCATCAGCAGGATCAGCTGAACCACTCTGCCTACAAAGATCTGCTATAGTTCTTCTTATTAAGCCTCTGACTCTCTAACTTTTCCAGCCCTGGTTCGCTGACTCTCTTCGTCTCTCTGGCCTGCTGGTTCCAGTTCTGGTCGACTCTGGTTTGAAGAATCATCGCCTGACAATGACTCTTATCTTTTTTTCTGTTTACCACATTCACATGCATTTTCTTTATGGAAATCTACGTTTGAAGATGCCAGCGTGTCTCCTCTCTGTACTTTTGTCACAATCAATGAGCCGGGTTGTGACACATTATTATATAAAAGTATCTATCAACTAGATTGAAAAGAAACAAAGTGCCAAAACAGGAAGCAAGAGTGTAGGCTGTATGAAATATTGGAGGGAATCCATCCAGAATATTTTCTCTGACCTCTAGATGGAGCTGTCGTTCTTCAGGGTTTTATTTAAAAGCGGCTAAACTCACATTGGGAGATCTTTATGAGATGAGAGATGAGATGAGATTCAACTTTATTGTCATTACACATATACAAGTATAGAGTAACGAAATGAGGTTTGGCATCTCACCAGAAGTGCAAATAAGCAGAAAGTGCAAGAGTCTGTGCTATGTACAGTAATTGAGTGCAAGAGTCTGTGCTATGTACAGTAATTCTGTGCTATGTACAGTAATTGCAAAATTTACAGATGTAGACAAAAAAAGTGAATTATTAGGTAAATCTGGATGGCTGGATTAATGGGATGCAATAAATATAAATAAATGCTATAAATAAGTAATGCTACAAAATAAGTGTGTTCTTAGGATTATAATATACAGATTAAGATGCAGTGAGCATGCTATACTAGATATATACAGATTAAGATGCAGTGAGCATGCTATACTAATAATATACAGAATAAGATGCAGTGAGCATGCTATACTAATAATATACAGATTAAGATGCAGTGAGCATGTTATACAAGTTTACAGATAATTTAAAGAATATGAACATACTATAATACAATAATACAGATCGATGAGAGATGTGTGTGTGTGACCAGGAGGAGTGGTGGGGGGATGATGGGTGTGAGGTGATATGGAGGGGAAAGGGGGGGTCAGCAGGGTGCGGAGAGAGAGAGGGTTTGTTTATACTGTATAAACAAACACAGATAAGTTCAAAACCAAACGGAAATACAGTCTGAACTAAAAAAATGTATACACCTTCACTCTTACTGACAGCTCTGTAAATGCGCATGAAAACAAAAAACAAAATGTTATGTTTTGTTTTCAGATGTAGTAATAAGATCTGTAATATAAAAATAATATCTGTTCATGAGATCTTTTTTTTTCATGGATATGTCACCAAAATGGCAATGAACTGATAAGTCCCACAGTAAAGTCTGTAAAAAATACAGACACACAGAAATTGCATAATTTGGCTTTGTAAAGGCCCCATCAGAGCGCTTGATGACAAGAAAGTGGGACCAGGGGCGTCACCAGGAATTCTGAGCCCTCTTAAGAGATTTCACTGTGGGCCCCCACCACCACAGCCCAAGCCATCCCCGCACAATGACTGTAACCCCATCTCAGTTATACTTATGACCCATTAACAGCTAATAAATCATTAATAATAATGAATAAATATTCATAACTCTGTGTTACATCCTAAAAAATGTGGGTTCTAAACCAGAAAAACAACAATAAAGTAATATAAAAAAGCAAAAGATGATTAAAAGATAACAAGGAGGCTACACTAAAAGAGATCTCAAATAAGAGAAAATATACCAAACATTCAGTCAACTTCCAATTAATGTTCCTGAAGATTTCGCTCAAACATTTGAGGTGAAATGAAAATTTATTGAAAACACTTTCAATACAAAATATCTGATAAAGAATATCCAATACAATGTCTGAAAAAAGATCAATAAAGTTTCTGTTAAGAATTTTGGTCGGGCAAAGTTCCCCACAAACATTTCCGATGAAAACATAAACCTCGATGAAAAAGATGTGAAAACAATCAGAGGGGGAAAGTTTTGATGGAGATTACCAATGTGCGGTGGACCCAAAGATAAAAAAAAAAGCTTTTATCAAAACACAAAAACGTCTCAAACACTCTTTGAGAAAACGTAAACATTTTATAAAACAAATAATTTCACTTGGTGCAAAAACTATTTCAGAAACGGAAATGAGAGGAATACACTTTAGGCTACTTATCTGTCATTGGACACAAACCAAGTCCTTTGAAACAGTCATATCATTTCCTGTTTACCTTTTGCTTTTCCACTATTTACTCACTTCAGCCAAAAAAGCCAAATAGACAAGGTTACAAAGGAGAGAGAAAGTAACGATCAGAAGTGAAGGAAGCCTGTCAGTAGGAAGTTGCAGTAGAACTAGTCAATGTCAATGTGTGCTATTTTGGAGGCTCCTGTACCATGGACCGTAGGTGTATTGCAATCTCAAAACACAAAACAATAAATAATTAATACAACTATGTAATGCCACATTTTTGGCATTTGAACCATTTCAATTTCTTCATTATTTTTAGTTACTTTAGAAAAAGAGCAAAACTTGGTTCCCACAAGCTCTTATTCTGAAAGAAACAACCGGAAGTTCTTGGTCTTGACTCGACTGTGGTGCCCGTGATGCCCCCCCCTCCCTCTCTTTCAGCTGAGCAGCGTGTGTTCCTCGGAGGTGACGGAGACAGCTGGTCCTTCCCTGGTCCTGCAGAAAGGGAGCGGAGCCTCCGGCCGCAGCCACGGAACACAAGCCCGGGATGGCGTCGCTCGGCGTGGGGCTGCATCTCAGCCACAGGCGGGGAGCGGGCAGGAGCCCTGCGGTGGAGAGGAGGAATCTGCTGACTGTGTGCAGGTGGGGATTCCTTACACTGGTCTTGCTTTCACTGACAGTGAGGATGAAAACAGCGTCTGCAGATCGATGTCTGGCACCAGGTTTGACCATTTCATGTGCGTGATTGTTAGCTCGAGGAGCAGGACTGAACCGCGTGACTCCATCCTTTTTTTTTTTTTTTTTAGAAATATGACTTCATATGCAAAGAGAAGAAAACCTGCCTGTGTCCGATGGATGAGCTGCATTGAAATAGTAGGCTAGCCTTTTTTTTTCTCCTAGAAATAAAATCAACCATCTGACCTGAGGTAGCCTAAATAGCTATCATGTGTCTTTTTTGCATTACATTGTTATAGCTACCAACCTAAACGCTCATATATAATTACACTATCACACTATCCACTAGTATTGATAATTGTTAATGAAAACACATTTCAGCTTTAATTACCCACAAATTCAGTTCAATGTGGGATCAATAGCCTGCCAAGATTTAAGAAATACTGAAGCCAGGAGTCCAAATTCCTCAATCACTCCTACACCCCTCCCAAAAGGATTTGGATTAGCAACAAAGTTAGATTTTTTTAAATAACCTTTCACGTTTTGTTACATTTTTTTCAAGCTTAAATTTAAAGATATACACTGTCTTGAGATCTACACATATTCTACTTTTTTGTAGAATAAACAGTAACCATTACTTAAAAGATGACCTTGTTTTGCTCCTTGGTGACTGATGCTTGAGGTGTGCACACACATGTTGTCTACTTGTTAACGCTGCCTCTCTGTAGTTGTCTTGTTAAGGCTCTCTGGGCTCTGCCTATTGATTTGTGGTCCTCTCGGTGCTGCTGGCCGATGTCTGTTACTCCCTGACGTCCCTGTGGTCTGCAGAAAAGTAAAAGAGGATCAGAGCGGAACACAGAAAGGGAAGGTAGCGAGGCGTAAACTGTGAAAGTTCAGGAAACAAACTAATAATTCAGCACCTGCTCCTGCTGCTCAGTCAGGCAGTTTGCATCAGAACAAATTTTCCAGCCACAGCTCAGGGGTGTGACGGTGCATGGTATGATTTCCTCCATTAGTGTCACTTGAAGCAGATCTAAGGTAGAGTAATTACAAACAGGTTGTCCTCGCTCGCTGACCAGACTGATTCTTCCTCGCCTCTTTCTGCCTCCTCACCAGCCATCAGCTCAGACTGACAGCCAAACTAAACGGAGGAGGGAAAACGGTGTGAAACATGATGGCAAATTGACAAAATGAATGTCTAGGAGAATATGTACTACAGGGAGCTTACAAAGGCAGAGGATATAAACATCTTAAACCCATTTTTTATTCTTTTAGATATCTTACAGATGGTGAACACAAATGTGTCCCTGACTGAGAGACAGCAACTTAAATTGATGTGTTTTTTCCCCTGATTATATTTGCCTTTTGTACTCTTATAGCTACTGATGTAAAAGTCCTCCAAACCTACACTGACAAGTGTTTTTTAAAGATGTTTTTTTAGGCTTTTGACTTTATTTTGACAGGACAGCTGAAGATAGAGGAAATGAGGGGAGAGCGAGTGACGGATGAAATACCCCAAATAGTGTCAGGCTTGGATTTGAACCTACAACCAGTGTGACAAGAACTGTAGCGTCTGTGCTTGGAACATGCTCTACCATCTAAGCTTACCCAGTAGTGCCCCTCTATAAATGAAATAGTTAAATAGTTTCCATTGCAAGTACTTATTTCATCAAAGAATTCATAAATTACGTTGAAACCTTGTTGAGGATTCCTGATGACTTGTCACAGCATGAGAAGCACAGGTGTAACCCACACCGTCAGTGACAACTAGTGTGTTTCATTTAGTTTTCCCACAGAGCTTTTATGGATTTCATTGCTGTTCAATATGATTATTTACAAATGTCCTCTTCAAACCTGGTGCCGTCAGGAGGTGTCCTGCTCACAGTGTTCTGTGTTTGTTGTGGTGTTCAAACCTCTTACGTTCAAGAGTTGCCACGTCACCCTTAGATGTCAGTGACTTCCTCGTTCATAAGAATGATAAAATACAGCAAAAATATAGGTCACTCGTGGTTTGAAAGGATAACAAGCAGACACTGGTTATTGTTGTCAGTCTCCTAGCAACAGGTCCGTCACGACTTCAAACACTTAAACGCTAAAACTGTGTATTAGACTTTCATGACAACCTCAGGAGTTACATTTGGTGCAGGACAAATGAATACAGCAGTGTGGGTGCACGGTTTCTTTAATGAGGATTTTAATCTACTCAGTATGAAAGAAGACCCACCTTTATACAACTGCTTTTGAATTCTTTCAATTATTTAAGTATGTATTTTTTATTATCTTTGTAATTATTTATGTCAGAAGTATGGCCAACTTATTATTGTTGTTAAAACCAACTTCACAATGATATATATTCTAAGAAAAATTAAAGTATATTATCCAGTGCAGATGTTCTCAAACTTTGAGCCTGCACCTATTAGTCCTTTATAAAAAGCTGAATAAATGTTATGTGTTTTCCCTGCACAGTTTATGAAGGATCAGGTGTTGTTACGTGAAAGACAAAGATTTTTACCATGTGATGATGGAAGTAGTAATAACTGTGAGGCTCAGTGCGATATATTCTACCAAGAGGATACACTGAGAATAAAATTAATACACAAGATTTCAGATTATAAACACATTTTTCGGAATGAGACCCAATCAAAACACACAACACTCTGTGGTCACTGTGCTGCTACGCCACGAGATGAAAAGAGATATGAAGTGAGATTGTGCTCATGTTAGGCTTCAAACAATTTGGCACAACAGAGCACACACACGCTGACACTTTGCAGTCTTGTCCATTAACTTCCTGTCTAATTAGCTGTAATCAGGTTAGAGTCGCTCAGTGCACATGGCAGTCATAGTGGGCAGCACGTTATTGCAGCTTTCATCACAGGATAATAATCACAGGCTCATTAAAACAGCGGAGAACAGGGATGTTTATTTGTCTTGCCCTGTAATTAATGACATGAATACGAAGTTCTGTTTATTAGTTTGGATATTTAGCTGCCAGTGTAAACATGGCAAAACATCCTTCATACATTTAAAGGGATAACCTCCTCCCTAAAGTTAGGGGAAGATATTTAATAAAGAAGAGTCAAAATTGAAGTTGCAGAGGCAGTTCCTATACAGTTCCCATCATGCAACCAACAGCATGTTTTCATTAATATGCTGATGAAACTTCATGCAGTGTTTTTTTTTTTTCTTCACATATGTGTTTTCTGTAAGCCTGAACTGTTAAACGTAAGTGACACCCTCTTTTCTTCTTTGGGTGTAACATTGGTGAAGTCGCCCTTTAAGCTGGACTTCCAACAAATGATTTAATAACCAGTGTGTCTTTTTTTTATTCTCTTTTGAGGTTTTCGGTGAAGACTCTGCTGGACCGCTCTTGTTTTGACACAATAGATGACTCGTCTCCAGAGTTTGTTAACTTTGTTTCCATCCTGGAGCATATCCTCAGCCACCGACTTAAAGGTAAAAACTAAAGCAATACTCCTTATCCACATGCAACCTATACACATATTTGAAATGTTTTGTAATGCAGAATTCAACGTCATCTTTCTTCTCTTCATTTGATACTTCCTAGGAGAGTTGTCAGGAAGTGAGAGTGTCAAGTGATAACAGCTAAAAATAACCATGGGACATTGTGGTTATAAGCTTCTTTAGACCTCCTCCATTATAGCTGTCTCATTATGACACTGGGAGAAGATATTCTTAGTATAAAACACAGTATGTTGTCATTCTTCTCAAACTATAAACTGAAACCAAACCTGTCTGTTAAAGGTCTCATTCACCAGCCACAAAAACAGGTGCACAATTTCTGCCACTACATAGTCATTTCTGTTTATTTGTTTTGACATGACGGAAGGTGCTTTGTGAATGGTTTAAATTAAGAGCTTTGAGGGGTGCCAGTGGCCTTGTGGTTGGTTTGCCCAAAAATACATCTAAAGAAAAACAAATTGAGAGCTGTGAAAGAAAAGTTCAACCCTGTACAATCCTTTTGTCTTTCTTTTCACTCAGGTCAGACGACTTGGTTTGGTTATGAGAGTCCTCGCAGTTTCTGGGATTGCATAAAAGTTGCCTGCAGTAAAGTCCCGCATAACTGCATCCGAAGCATTGAGAGCATGGAGAATGTGCGATCGTCGAGAGCCAAAGTGAGGATAAGTCTGTCCTGGGTTCCAATTTAATTTCATCAGAGAGCAGGGGAGAAAACAAGATCAGTTCTGGAGACAAAGGAGAGTCACATTTTCACAACACAATTGAAAATAAACAAAAACATGTGTCGGATTTAGAAATATATCATCAATATAAATATATAATAAAAAAGAAACATAAGAAATAAAAGTTTTATTGTCCTTAAGAATTCTGACCTACATTCATAATGCAGATTCAGGCATTGTCAAGAACACACGAACACCTACAACATGACTCAGACTTAACCTGTGAGTAACGGAACAAACAACTGGAGCAAATATTGTTCTTCAATCAGGCTGCAGGAGAGAACCACAAGACTTCCTGGTACTCACTTAAACACACACACACACACACACACACACACACACACACACACAGGCTGTCTTTTAAGAAAGAAATTGTGAAGCAATGCTTTTGGCTTATTAGGATTTTCAGTTTTGAAACATCTACAGTATATCAGATCCACCTCTGCATCTTTAATTAGAATTAAGTACTAAGAATACCAGGGGAAAAAAATACATTTTACATGGTTCTCTAAATGGCACAACATTTTCAAACTATTTGCACTCAGAAGTTAATTGTTTTCATTCTAGTGGCTTTTTAAAGGCAGTGTCAGTAGATCTGTTAGACACTTGCATACTTCCCCTGAGGTTTTCTTTTAGCATCGTTAGCAGGTCTGTGTAATATGTCGATATCTAAAGGAAGGATTGGCACAAACTTAGGTACCTACTGTACATTTGTGCTTTTCAGATAATGAATCTCAACAGCTCTGGCTGAATCCCTGACATTTCTACCACCCTCGAAGCTAGACGATTAGCATTTTGAGTCAAATCGAGTAAAAGGTAGCTGAAAATATCCATCCCTGTAAGAACAAAATAGATTCACTTTGATAATTCACTTTGTAATCCTCACGTAAAAGTTTCATTCTCATCAGCCTCAAATGATTTTTCTGCAACTGTAGCATGCAAGTATGCTAAACTATCAGCAACACATTGACATTTTAACACTGTCATTATGAGTATGTTAGCATTCAGTGTTGATTCACAGAGCAGCTAGCCTCACTGTGGACTCTTAATTTCCTGTTTAAGGGTTTTCTTGTCCTAGAAGTATCCTCTGACAGCTCAGCATTTCTCTGCAGGGCAGAGCATGGATCAGAGTGGCCCTGATGGAGAAAAGAATATCAGAATACATCTCCGCTCTGAGGGATCTAGAAACGACCAGGTCGGCATGTTTTATGCATAACCTTACATCCAATATGTATTCTTTAGCCACAGAGGAGAGTGAATTGTATAATGTGTTGACTGTGTGCACACGTGTGAACTGTAGGAGGTTTTATGAGGATGGAGCGATAATGCTGGGAGAGGAGGCGGGGCTGTTAGCAGACACACTCATCGGACTCAACACCATCGACTTCAGGCATGTTCTGCTGTCTCTTCCTCTACTTCTTTTTCACTCTCGCTTTCTCTCTACTTCGCACTGCTGGAGTATAGCTGTCTTAACAAGTTTATAGCATGGAGTCACTACGCAATAAACATTTTCATCCGGCATTTCTGAGGTTGATCAGATCTTCATCTTAATAATGAAATGAGGTTCTTTCTGATTTCATTATGAATACAACAGTGTAGAGTACAAGGATTTGTCACCGTGAAGGCATAGCAAAGCGTAACAAGGGGATTAGGATGGATACAATAAATGTCACTGAGCATCCAATTTAAGCACTAATTACCAAACAGAAAGATTGTAGCACTGCTATAAAGGAAGGGCTGATGCTTTGATTTGATTATCCTGTCTTTTCTCTTCAGCTTCTGTCTGAAAGGAGAAGGCCTGGACGCTAGCTGCCCCCCTGTGATCGACTACACACCTTACCTGAAGTTCACGCAAAGGTATTGCAGCGTATTCGGCCGGTAAAACTGGATTATGTTACATGTTAAATGTTGTATTTATTGGGATATACTTGGTATCTATTTACAGCATATTTATCATGCCACTGCTGTGTAGGATTTGAACTAACACAGCTCACATGCGTGCTGTCTTCGCAGCGCGGACAGCATCAGCAGCGACGAGGAGGAGATGAGGACTCTGGGCAGCAGCGGCAGCGAGAGCAGCACCCCTGACAAAACGGCAACGGCCGCCTCCATCTTCACTGAGCAGAGCAACCTAGTCAGCAAGTGCAAACGCTTTGAGCAGAAGTATCGCATGGCGCTGGAGCAGAAGGTAGCACCTGTGTGTCTATCTGTGGCGGAGTATGTGTTTGTGCTATTTTGGTGCGATGAATTGGATGGTAATATATGCCGATGTGACATTTTACTTGGTGTGTGTATAATAATGAGATGCTGAAAGTCAGAAATGCCAGGAGGAAACAGACAAACACACACTGAGCTGAATGTTACTTCTTGCATATAACACATCTGTAATGTTCTCTGTGTGACTTCAGCTGTTATTGAAGATACAGTGGAAGCCCTCTAGTTGTTTTATTTGATTTGAGCCATTAAAGAGATAATAGTGGCAAACAAAAATCTCTGTTTCTGTGTATGTGTGTGTGTGTTTGTGTCTCAGGGTTACCTTGAAGAGCTGGTCCGTCTGCGTGAGGCCCAGCTGTCAGAGGCCATGTCTCACAACAAAGCTCTTCAGCAGGGCCTAACAGACATGCACCTCTCACACACGCTGGAGAAGGAGCAGCTTGAGTACATCGTGTTAGAGCTACAGGACCAACTGTGAGTTCAGCACCAGCTATTTGTGCATGTGAGGCCGCTGACGGTAAGGTGGGGGGGGGGGGGACTCTGCAGCAGATCCAGCTGTGAGTCTGACATTTCAGGAGTCAGGACCCAGCACGACACTTGGAGGCAGCAGGTCATTTGTAATTTATGTGTTGTTAAACCAAACGCGAGAGACAGCTGCATCAGCGCTGCGTCTTTTCCATTTCAGGTTCCAATCAGTGAAAAACAAGCTTTCTCAAGATTGAGCATTAATTCAACGTAGGCGGCAATGTCTGTCGAGAGAGGGTTTGTGTCACGATCTTTGGAAACAACGCTGCGTTCCAAAGACAGAGTGATGAGTCAGTGGATGTTTTCAAATGCAAATAGAGTGAAAAGAACGATTGAGATACAATAAAATCCACGAAATCACAGTACTGGATGAGATTTTTGAAGAAAGAGTGACAGATGTAGGATATCTGCTGTGTGTTTTGCTTCACCTTTCTCTGCGTTGTGCAAATATTTCTTGCTGGACAAGAAAAGGTTAATGCTAAGTTATTGATGTTGTCTATCTGTCTTTAGGACGGTGCTGAAGAACAATGATTTGCGGTCCAGACAGGAGCTGACAGCCCATCTGACCAATCAGTGGCCGTCTCCTGTTGCCTTGGATGCCAATGCCGTTGCCTTGGATACGCTGCTGTACAGGAAGAGAAGGGGACAGTGGGAGGAGTACGTAGATGTTTATCCAGACTCCAGGTTTAGTTCGGCTATGTCAAGGGCTGCAGCGAAACATAATATTAAATTAATATTAATCATTTAATAGAAATAAGAATAGGCAATGCAGAACTAATAGGGATCCTAATAAAGAAAGAGAGAAATAAAATGTATGATAAAATATGAAATTCATGAGGCATATACTTGGCTATTTTTACTGACATAGATCTGAGATGTTGCTCATGTTATTTTACCATGTTCATGAAACTGGAAAAAGAGGTTAATTATAGATTTCAAGTTTGCAAGCAAAATTTTTTATGTAATATTTCCTGGAAAATTGTATTGACAAAAACATGGAGCAGGTAAAAAATAAATTCACAGCAAATTGTTCAGAATAAAATAAGTTATTTTTGTGCTGTACTCTTATTTTCAATTCAAAATGTATTTAGAGAATATCCCATTGTCACGGTTGCGCATCCGGGATGTGAATATGTTTGACACATTTGATTTTTGAATTACTTAACAAATTACTTACCTACATAAATGATTGTTTTTTTTTCTTGTTGCCTTAGTTTTTTTTTTTGCCTTAGCAACCTTTTGGATTTTATAACTGATGTGATCATTTTTCTCTTTCCTTGTAGAAAGAGTTTCCAGAGTCTGGAGCAGCTGTCTGCAGACATGAGCCTCTCCCAGACATCTCTCGAGCCATCACACTCGTTGAGTCTGGAGGTCCAACCAACCGGCAGCTCACACTGGTCCCAGCAAGGTACTGTGTTACGTGAATGTTGTTTTCTCCACTCTGAGTCATGCATTTAAAAAAAAAAAGTTTTTATCTCATATCAGGTAAAGAAGAAACTCAATCTTTAAGAGGTCTGTGCGGCTCCCTGACCTCAGTCGCCAGCTACAAGTCTCTGGCCACCCTGAAGTCCAACGAGTGTTTGGCCAGTCCTTCAACAGAGATCTGCAGCCCTGACATCACGCCTTCATAGCTAACAAAAGACTCATAAAACAGACCATACCCAGGCCCAAACAATCCAGGAACTTTCTAAATGTAGGTGATTTTGTTTTGCAGTGTGGAGACGTTCATGTTTAGATGTGGAGCCTAGAGCTTCAGCAGAAGACAGACAGGTTTTCTTGCTGAGAGTATGATTCAGCATGTTTTTTAATGCGTTAAGTCTCAGCACCAGCTCAAAGGGACCGAATCATGTTTTCTAAATGTTTGTTTAGTGACTCTTTAGAGAGGGATTACAGCTTCATCTTCATTTTCTATTGGTCTGTTTTTTGATGCAAGAATTATCATTTCACTTTACCATTTAAAGACAGTGATGAGTTCCTTTTTTCAACCCCCTCTCTCTCTCTCTTTCTTAAAAAAGGGTTCTTCAAAGAGATCTTAGCATGCTAAATATACTGTTGAAGGTCGGATAAAGTTTAGGAGAAAAACACAACACTTTAATTGTCAACACTCTTGTCACTTCAAATCATTTCCTCAAGTTGACAAGGTATTTATTATTATTAGAATTTTATTATATAAATTCTTGTTTTTTAATCAAGTTGTTTCTTATTTTACGATAGTGACCGTATTTTCCACTTTCATCAGTTGCTATCTCACATGTGTTCAGGTGTAAATGTTCTCAGTTTTGGATTTTATGGTATGTTGCCAGTGTTGGTTATGATACAGTATGAAATGGTTTCATTCTCAGGTAATGATCACATATACACTAATATTGGCCTCTTCAGTCTGGGTTCATTTTAAAGTTCAGCTTCATCAGACAGACCGGGGTTAAACCCTTTCACTATTCCAACGCAGTGTTTCAATGGCTAGTTACCACACATAGATCATTAACAAATGATCTGTGTTAGGATGTGTTCCAAGGATATCCTACAACGGCTATCTTTGCAATAAGGAAGTCTAATAGCAGAATATCCGTTTAATGTGATTTGTATTATTTGTGACTAGCCGTGTACCTGGACACTGGAGTCATGAGTTTGCCTTTAGCTCATTGCAGCAGTCATTTGCACAGCCATGCAGTATAGTTTTGATTTATTTGCTTTTATATGCTTTGTTTTGAATAAACTCCACTTTATTTAAACGGTGAAAATTGAATGAAGACGTTTGACTTTCTTGTTGACAATAAACAGGTGTGTGGATACAGCGTGTGTAAATCAGCAGGTTCAAATGATAAAAAAAAATTTTTTTTAACTCCAACTGTAATGGCACATTAGCTTTTGTGCATTTTTTTTCTCTTCTCATCACAGGATAGGAGTGGAAGTGCAAAACCAGATTCCATTTTGATGCAAGGGTGACACTCCTTCAGGAGTGACACACACAGGAGTAAAATGAGATTTTTGTCTGACATATGTGAGGACTTCAGGCACAATGCACATTATCAAAGAGCAAGAAAAATATATCAAACTATGGCTGCCATCTACTGGTTGCTTAATACATTAAGTATGATTTGAACACAGATGAATAAAATATCATTCTTTACAATTGTGTTAACAGGATCTATAGTGTTGAAAACAAAACCATAGAATATTAAATTACAAAATATAATAAAAAGCTTTTCTTTGAAATTTGTCACCTATAATATATTTTTTATGCAGTTTTGGATCAAGAGAGTTATTATTTTGTTCACTTCCATTTCTGATTTTCTTTCTTAATTGGCAACATGAGCCTTTTCCTCCCAGGTGTAGTTAAGTCGTAGTTATAGTGGTGGTTGATGTGGAGACACGTGACACCTCTCAGGTGTTGCTGGTCTGCAGTGGCATGAGCATCCTCTCCTGGTTGTGTTTGCGGAAGAAGGCTTTTCCAAACTCGTACGTGCTGATCATGATGGCGCAGGCTGGAGCCACTTTGATCAGCCTGGGGATGAAACCTAGCAGGGAGGAAACAGGTTAGAGCTACTGATGTGTCATTCGCTTAAGTACAAGGGCCGTATTTACAAAGCCTCCTAAATAATAACAGTTGCTCATAGTGACAAAATTCTAAGAAAATTATTTGAATCAGGACATTTTCCCCGCTCAAAGGTAAGGCTAGTTCCTTGTAAATGTGAAAGTTATTCACAAAACTTCTTAGCCCTTTAGAGAGCTCCTAAGGTGTAAAACTGTTACGAGGAGGACTTCAGAGTTGCTCAAGCTGAGACAAAAATTGAGAAATGTTCTTCAAACACGACTTGAAGAACATTCTTATTGAAGCATAGTTGGGCCAAAAGGACATAAATTATTTAAACAGACATTTCAGTCCATCTTTGACTTTTTTCGGTGAGTCATGCATGTTGAGTTTCTCTCCATGCCGTCACCTCCACCACAGGTGCATCCAATCACTAAATAAAGCCTCAACACCTGCTGATGTAACGATCAGCATGTGATTTCAAACATTTTACAGGCTAAAAACTTTTCAAGTATGTTTTACAAATTATCACACAGATGCTAATTTCATAGTGTTCATGATTACACAACGTCCGACTAGATTATATGGTTGACATTTTTTCTCAACTTTTAACCAATCACAGCTTCTGAAAAAAATGTGTCATACCTCGCAACGGGGTCCACCACGCCTCCTCACTAAGATAAAAGTTTCTGTCTCTTCCTCGCTCAGAGTTGCTCTAAGAATGTTCCTCAATCACTCCTCGGCTAAAAATCCTGGCTAGCTGCTAATTTAGGAGCTATCTGAGAGAATTCTCAGAATGTTTATGAATACGAGCCCAAGTGTAATGTAAAAAAAAAAAAGGTCACAAAAAGATATACCTGCAAACAGTCCCCCAACACCTTCCTGTGCCACAATCCTGCTCATAACACTGAAAGTGGAGGAGGACACCTCATGTGACACTGAGAAGACAAAGACAACCACAAACATTAACTGACCAAAGCAGGCAAAGTTTAAATCATGTAATAATGTAGTTTTCACACTTCATTCCAAAGCACTTCACTTTTAACACGTTTAATCAGAATAAAGTTGTGGTTAGTGTGCCATTATGTTAGCAGAGAAGAATGTTTAAAGTAGTTTTTATCAACATTAAATATAAAATGTCTCTACTAAAAGGTATGTTGTTTGGTTTTTATTAAATATTAATAATAAGTATGTCCATCAGTATTTCAAAAAATATGACATCCTAAAATATCTTTCAGTTGTCCACATCTTAAAATATTTTCAGCTAACTTGAACATAGAAAATACATTTTCTGAGGATTTTGACTTTGATCTTTAATTTTTTTTAACAATCTTGTGAAACACTCACCATTTAAACATTAAACAGATAACGTCATGCTTACAGTTCTTGGCTTGTAGCTCCCCAAGCTCCACCTGCCTTCTTGTTTTGACAACATCAAAGGGTAACGTTATGATGGAAGCAATCTGAAAGAAACACATGCTTTAACCACTACAATCATTTTTAGATTAAGGTCTATTTATGAATTGGGATGTTTTTGATGAAATAATCAATGACCTCATCGAAAGGTTTCAAAAAGCTCACTGTTGTGGAGATGCACTTACAGAGCCAGACAGCGCTCCAGAGAGGAAGGTAATGGTTAGCGTTGGCTCTCTGGTGTTGTACTGTTCACACAGCCAGCCCTTGCTCTTTTCGTAGTTGTACCAGTACATGGCTGAGAATGGAACGTCTCTGTACAACGTGGGCCCCAGACCTCGCCACAGAGACAGCCAGCCTTCTGTCTCTACGGCCGAGCGGATGCAGGCAGTCAGCTCCCTGTACGACTGTTTCTGAGACTGCAGCTTTGTACGGATCAGCTCCAGAGGGCTGATCACTGTTGCTGAACCCACTGACAGAGAGGGGAAAGAGAAGCTCAAAACATACTGCAGATGAGGGTAAGAACCAAAATCATTCTGTCACAGAGAAGATATCCTAAAACACAGCCGGATAACAAAGAAATGTAATTATCACTGAATATGATTTTACAGTTTAGTGGAGCATTTGATAGAAAATTGTTTTTTTTTTTTAAACTCTCTTTAATAAAGGCTCATTAGTCAGTGTTAAAAACTTTGCTGAACCTAGTCGGGGTCAAAATGTATCGCACTAAGTTTTCAAATGAAATCTAGTATTGACAAGAGATTCCTCTCCTCTGAGAAATATTCCATCTTCCTATACACAATAACTTGAGTAAAGATGATCAACAGTATCATTGTGAATTCTAGTATCCAGAAAAACTCATTTTTTTGTCAGAAGTGGTCAGCTCACCTCTGGCGGTGGCTCCAGCTACAAGAGGAGCCTCCTGAGAGTAGTCTCCCATCCGGAGCCTGAGCGCTGCACACAGCTGGTCATAGCACGTGAAGTAGATCACTGTGGCTGGGATTGCCATCACACTGAAAAAAAAAACAAAAAGCAAATATGTTAAGTATGCACAAAACATCCATCAACTTGTAACGCAGGGGATAGAAATCAACCACAAAAACAACGCTTTTGAATTAATGAACCAGATTTTTTAAACACTCATTTTATTAACTGTTAGAATGAACATAAAGCACTCTTTGGTAACCAGCCTTAAAGGTGGTTTGCCACTTATAGGTACATCTGGAACAAAAACGCCCTCAATGAATGCATCAGCTACATATTCAATAACTTCCCACTGTCCACATTTGCTTATGGTGGAGAGTAGGCTGTCTAAAACTGACTAGAGACATGAGTGCAAAACATAAATTGTACACACATAGAAGTCTTTAAACTCACAGTGTTGGAGGTAAACCGCTCCATAATGACTTTATGCCTTCTTGTCGAATTATCTTGACAAAGGCATCCTGTAAACAAACACAAAAAAACGATACTGAACATAAAACAACTAAACCTAATCCTTTACATTTGATTTTGAAATGTAAATAGTGCCATGTGAAAATTCTTACCAGTGTGCCATTGAAGTGACCGGGTGCTTTGTACCAGGCCTTGGAATTTCCATTTTCACACACACATATGTGGTCCATGAGTCCATTACAGTAGACAAAGCATTTCCCTGAAAAACATGACAGATATGGTTTAAGTTATGTAGGCCGGAATAAATTATATTTCACTACCGAGGAAACACATAGAAGTTATATGAAAACTACAAATGAATATAAAAAATATAAATACATTTAGGGTTAAACCCACCGTAAAAGGTGTAGGCTGAAGTTTTTGCTCATTATGCTGAACATTATTACAGAACGTGTTCTGTGAGGGGCAACTGAGTTTGAGCCACACCAAAAACTCAACAGAACAAAGTTTCATGTCATGCAAAAAAATAATTTACTTGAAATTTTCCCCTACTTCTGTTTGTTTTTTCAAATACCTAAAACAACAGCACATTTTGATTTACTCTGTAAATAATCTGTGCTGTTTTAACTTCAGTGGGTCATAAACTTTCCTATAAGAGAACCATAAAGTGTATTCAATCACTTCTGATTCAGGATATTCTTAGTTTAATATAACAAGGCGATGGACTTAGACATTTTAATTCAACAAAAAATGTGCTTGCCTAATGCTACCTGTATTAATAATGACACTTGATTTTACCTTTAGGGAAGGGACTTTTCTGTGCTTGCAGTCTGATCTTCACAACATCCAAAGGAGTGACTGAAAAAAACAAGAAACTTAACATGAGCCTCTATTGATGTAAATAACAGGAAATATATATTAATAATGTTAATCAGGCCAACAAAATGATCTGTTCACCCCCAAACTACCCTCTCTGAACTGTAAAACAGGAGAGCCACCCTGAACCCAGAGGACCCCTCTGACCCCCCCTCCACCAGGCAGACGCTGCAAAGTCCCTCTGGCCCGGAATAAAATCTACAAAAAATCTTTCATTACCTCTGCAATAAACACCCTGAACAAACTGCTACCACACAGTTTTTGTGCTTTACTTATAATCCTCCCATGATTGTTCACATATTATTGGTTTTAAGAAAGTTTGCACAGTGAGATAAAATGACCGAGGCATTTTTTAAGGTGTTTATGGCTCTTGGTATGAAACCACATATCAGATACATATCAATAGTTGTAAAAGCAAAAACTATTTTGCTGTGATTCTAATCATTGCAAGACACCATTTTCATTATATCTGTGATGCTTGTTGTTAACCTGCATCTTACTAAAGCTTCAAATAGTGCAGTCACCATAGTGTAGACGACATCCCTACTTCTCTGATTTTGAACATTTAAATCGTAGTTTTATTTGCTTATTCAACAGGGACATGTGCAATAACATTATTACATGTGTAAAATACAGCTGAATGCATGCATACAGGTTTCTAGCCTTGGAAAATGTGCAACCCCCTGTCCCTGGTTAGGCTTTAGGGTTAAAACTGAACTGAAGCATTAGACTTTATCTATACAGTTAGTTGTCCTTAGAAACATGGCCATGGCATACTAGTTGGTTTCGCTGGGAGCAGAAAGGGTGGAAAGGAGAAGAAGAAATGTATAGCAGGGAAAGGCAACTCAAGAATGTAAGGGAACAGAAAGTTATTGCGAGGGAAGACAAAAAAAAAAAACATAAAAACGTGTAATTTGTGATGCTGGGGAATAATACTAGATAAAAGATGATTTTAAGTTTGACCTTTGACCTTAGGAAAAAAGAAAGAACAGCCTTAAGCCTTAATTATTTACATTAAGGTGCTGCTGGATGAGCTGAAAGAGGTAGAAACAGACACTCTGGGTATCTTACCGAACAGAGATGTGAGCAGGGCTCCGGAGCAGGACGCCACCATCTGTTGGAGTGGAGTAATGCCACCATTGGCTGAAGACGATAAACTTTGACCACTCATACTGTTGACAATATACGTATAATTAATATGTTATTAAGGATTCGCTTAAACAAGAATTTGCTTTCACAAACAGAGCTGGTGAACGCCATGAGAAACGAAGGCTGTGATAACAGATGACATGATGGCAGGTCCGACCTTTTAATGCAACATGGACGCCTCGAAGTCTTTCATGAATACAGACATCCTGCTCAGGTTTCTTAAGTTTGTTGCCCGCATGTCAGTCGCTGCTGTCTTACTAGAAAAGCATATCTTCAACACGTGTGTGTTACATGGGCTTGTTACCCCAGCTAACTTGTCAGTCACTCAAAACATTGCATGATAACAGAAGTTACGTAGTATTGATTCCGGCACAGCACATTCTTTGAATTAACCTTACCCTAAATCCTTAACACAAAAACTCTGACATATTTAGCATAGCGATTTTTTTTTATTTTTACAAATAAATCGCTTTCTTTATTTTTTTTATTCATGAAAATAATGATTTGTTTTGTTTTACGCTGGTATAGCTATGTGGAAACATCACATGGGATCACAAAGGCTGCGTTTACCTAATGCTGGTGTTGCCAGATTTGAAGATTTCCGCAAACCTCAAAACACTTTTAAGATTGTCGAAAGTATGGAAATAACTATATTGACCTCAATAAAATGCGAACAATTTCTACTCAAGAATGAAGTCTGACAGTAAAGCACATATGTATCTAATAAACTGAAGTGAGCTAAGCTTGAGAACTAGTGTTTTCAAACCTCGTCATGCTTACGTTGACAGACAAACATGGCAACCTACACTTCCGTCACCATTGGATTTGAAGCGGGAAAGAGGCGATGGAAGAGCGACTTATAAAGTTGAATTTCTCCATCAAAACATTGTTTAATATCTTCCCAAATAGACAACTCCATGCACACACTGCTAGTGTGTAGATTATTCTCGTGAATTAACGAAGTTGTGTGAGGTATGATGAGCAGAGCAGCTGACCGTGTCTCTGTTTGTTTGACGGTAAGACTCATCGTGTGTTACTTTTAAATTAATGTGAAACAATAAACTGTGTACACGACCTTTTGTTTTATGTTTTACTCGGTGCTGTTTTGCTTTCTGTTTGACTTATTTGTAAATATTTTGTATTGTTTTGTTTACACAGGCTACATATGATGACTTCCTGGGACGTATTTGTCAAAATAAACATGTTTTTATGAGTGAAAGAGAATAAGATGAAGCCAAGACGCACCCAGAGGCATTCAGGTATTCTTACAATGAACTACTAGTTTATAAAAGCTTGTGTATTACTCACGTCTGTTTTTATGTTTTCTAGCGAAATGTCGAAACACCATGCACCTTAATAACTTATCATTTAGTATTTGCCTACTTGCACATAGCTCTGTATATATATATATTTATTTCTCGTTTACTGTACATAGTTCTGGTTACATCTGTTAGTCCGATCACTGTCCACTTATATCTACTCTTTTTATATTTTGTATTTTTAAGTTAAGTTTAAGCTTTAAGTTGTATTTAAATTGACACTTAATATTTAGGTTAAAATGTTTTGTTTACTTGCTCTGTTGTTAATTTACTGCTCTGTGTGCCTTTGAATTGCCCCCCGGGGACAAATAAAGTTTTTTGAATTGAATTGAAACGCAGGGTTAGATACTTATTTAACATTAACATTACTGACAGGTTTCGAGTTTCAGATTCCTTCAATTCTTGACCTTCACTATTGTTTTCATTTAAGATATTTGTGCCACAGCTATTTACACTTTAAACGTGTATTATTTTTATTATTATTTATTTATTTATTATCACACATATAAGAATACATCAAAATAGGATTAACAAAAACATAAAAGGTGTGTCAGGAGAGGTCAAGAAGCCAACAGGCTTATACAAGGGACCTCACCTCTTAAGAGACAAATAAATCAACTAAACAAATTAAATTACGGTACACTATTTAAATATAAACACATTTACAGTAATACCTATACACGTATTCATACACACACACTTAGACACATACATACAATAGAAAGACTGAGCATGTTGACCCTCTATCAGCTAAATGAAACGGGCATTGATCTATTAAAAATGGAGTGAATGAGTGAGTTGATGGGGAAAAAAAAGAAAACAATGTATTTTATACATGCAAAAGTTTGACCTCATGGATTAAATGTGAAGACAGTTTCCTTTTAAAAATCTCTGTAGACGAAGAGCCGTTAACAACTTAAATTAATTAATAAATTAAAGTAACGCCAGGCAAGTCAACCTTTTTTAAATAACTTTTGATCTTGTGACAATAACCTTATAACATGAAACAATTTATACCTATGGGACAAGTAGCTTTCAGTTGGACAGACAATGCAATAGTATTCAGTTAACACTAGATTAAAGAAGTGTAATTTAGACATAACAGCAGTAATATTGCTGAAATGGTAAACATATCTGACCAGATAATAAGTAATCACTTGGTTTCCTACATAGTTGATCACTTACCGTCATTGATAAGATACTGTAAATGAAGCACTTCATCTGAGATTACTAAGGCACCCTCTCTTATTGTGTGATTTTTGTGATTGCCTTTTAGGGAAAGGCCTTGTTACTGGAGGTGATAAGGCAACACTGAGCCAAGCCAAGCCTGCTCAAGTCAAACCTTTTGCTGGGAAAGTGTTTTACCTGGATCTGCCATCTAATAGAGTAGCAGAGTCTTTGGAAGGGGACATAAAGGAACTTGGAGGGGTAAGGACAAAATTAAGTTAAAACTTCTATCATTTCTCCTGTGTAAGCATTGCGAACAAGCTGTTGGTATTAGGTTCATCAAAATCCTTTTTTCTCTCTTTTTTCACCAGATTGTGGAGAAGTTTTTTAGTAAGGAAATAAAGTATCTGGTATCCAACAAGAGGGAGGCTAAATACGTGCATTGCCTCAGACAGGACTCTCCAGTCCCCAGCCCAGACTCTGCACAGAGTTCTCCTCACCCCCGCGCCAACCCGCCTCGGCCTGGCAGCCATGGAGACAGCATCAAATGCAAGTCTCAGGGCCAAACTGACACAGTAAGTATGCTGTAGGGATATGTTTTTAGAAATGTTCTGTCTCACTTCTAATATGTGGCATTTTCTTTCTAGGGGACCTTTACTGTTTTGTTAAGTATTATTTTCTGTTTTTTGTCTTGCAGTTTGTTAAAAGTAGGGGGAAGTCTTTGGTGGAGAAAGTGGTGAAAGAGCAGGTATGTGAAGTCAACGCTAATGAGTTTAGAAAGGAAGTGTGATAAACTGTTTTGTTTTCTGTGCTAATACACACATGTTTGTTTTGTAGGAAAGGGTACAGATGAACAAGATTCTGTCAAATGCTTTGGAGTGGGGTGTGAAAGTCCTTTACGTAGATGGTATGTTGGATGGGGTTAACTGGTTTTTATGCTGCATTACACCAACCATTAGGTAAAGTAGTAATATCACATTAATTTCCCCTGCAGATATATTAGCCTATGTTCGGAAGAGAAAAAGGACTGTCAGCGGCCAGCATCCTGCCACCACTGCTGTAAAAACAAGTTTACACTTGCGGGTTCGTAATCTTCTATGAATTCCTTGCAGAAATTTGCTTATATTGTTGGATCGTTGTCTAAAAAATTGCATAGATTTTGTAGATGTTTGAAGAACATTGCAATGAATGTTTTTTCCCCCTTGTGATTCTTTATAGGCCAAAGTTGAGACAGCAGCAAAACACAGCTTTCTAAAATTGAAAGGTAAATAATTTAAACAGTGTTAACTAGTTTTCCCAACCTCTGTCCTTTATCACACAAACAGTCTTTTATTTATTTATTTTCAGGCAAAAAGTATTTAAACTGTTTTAGAGACTTTGTATTGCTGCTCAAATCAGAAGTATTTTTTCTCCAGGAGGAAGGATCAGTAAACCGTTCATGAAGGTTGAGGACTCGAGCAGGTAAGAGACACAAGGTTAAAAAGGACCATCCACCATTTGTGTTTGACTTGTTTACATGTGTTGACTGCATGTCTTTTTCCTTCTTAAGACACTATCGTCCAATCTACCTCACTATGCCAAACATGCCTGAGTTCAACCTGAAGACTCTTCCTCCCTGTAGTCCCTTCTGTGTCGAGGACAAGGATCCTCCTGGGAACAAACAGCGAGGACACAGGTACACTTTAGCATCTCTGCTTCCTTTGTTGCTAACTTTACATGTTGACAGCATAGTATATAAGACCTGTAACATCGCACAATGATGACATTTTAAAAATGTAAAACTATTTCCATTTTCTCTTCCTTCTTTCTGTGCTTTGCAGTAAGACAGAACTGTTGTGCTTTGTTTTTTATTTAATAAACTGGTGAAGCCAAAACCACAAAAACACTTTGTGGGAAATCATGTAATTGACTCAAAACATTTTCCAATAATTCAAAAATGTATTTTTCAGAATATTGATTAAATATACATGTTTTTCATACACATGTATTTAATTCATTTTGAAACATTTGGATCAGAATCACATTTTAAAAATGCTCTGGGTTTAAAATAACCTTTGGACTGTTTGAGTTCATGTTGCCAGAACCAGCCATCAAGACTGAATTCAACTTTTATCAGAATGCAGAAAGTGTTTTCATCTTAGTTTTATTTGTGTAACCCCCGTCCTCCTGCTATCACAGTGAAGAGCCAGTACACGTCCGAAAGAAGAACAGAGACAAGAAGCGAAGCGGCTACTGCGAGTGCTGTTTGGTCAAATATGAGAACCTCACAACGGTAAGATATGACATTGTTAGAAGTTAAAAGTATGAGTGCCTTTTTATAATCAAAGACTACATGGACCAAAATCTCTTTTTATTTAAATAAACACAATTTTTTATTTGGTTTTTATTTAGCTTTTAACTCGTTTCAGAGCTTTTGAAGAGTTCTTATAGCCAAGACAATGAATAGTGTTCATACTCGGCTTACATGAATAGCTTCACCGTGGCTCAGTATTCTTAACTCACTGCTCAACTTGATTGATTTTTTTAAAACCATAATTTAGATCTGGATCTAAAAGTTTGGACATTGTTTGTCTGTTATTTGGTAAAGTGTTGTTAGTTATTCTAAATGAACAAATCTGCAGCTGGTAAATCTTGCTTTTTGCATAATTTAGCATTTAATATGAAAAAAAAAGATGAAGTGTGCTGAAAAATATATTAAATTCCAGTTGAAATATTGCTCTGTGCAATCAAAGTTACCCTACTATAATAAATACCTGTTCTAAGCTGTGGTATGTAGGACTTTCTCTTGTAATAGTTTTTCAGATGAAGAATATGTGAACAGTTTATTATGTGGCCGAATAAAACAGGGAAGAACTTTATCAAGAGAAGGTATTTTGCTCAATCGTTGAAAATTGAAAAGCTGTATTTAATGGAACGTTTATACATTTTTTTAACCCACTATTTCTTTAAAAGCATCTACAGAGCGACCGCCACAAGGCTTTCTCAAAGACTGACGAATATCTAGTTGTGGACAGACTGGTTTCAAACCTTCCCTGCAACTTATTTCACATCAAACCTCAAGTAAAAAGGTAACTTGTTCCCATTCTTGTAAAATCTCCAACATTATTGAAAAAACAGATCATGTCAGTGTGATTGTCTTTGCTTGATCTGTTTTTGACTCAATGATTTATTTGTCAATCTCTTCGCTCATCTCATCTTTTCTTTGATCCATGTCAGGCCCAAGTGCAGTGTTTCCTCTTTTCTGGTTGCTCCTGGACCTTGTGGGAAAACGGAGCTAAGGCGCGAGGGAGATCTGGATACCTCAGAGATTATTAAAGAAGAGCAGCAACAGACTGATGATGGCCGCAAGGGATCTAATTTAGGACACATTTTAAAAATGAAATCCCCTCCTGCCCCTCTGATTCACAAAGAGAGAGACAGACGGACTTATGGCACTCACTTGGGCAGATCCAAGCACAAACCTCTTGCACGTAAACGGCCGTGCAGACAGACTTCATTGACTTCTTGCACTCAGAAAGCTGGTAAGGCTGAAATTTCTCGGCCCGGTACAGAAACAGCACCCTCTAGAGGTGACATTACTGCCCCTGCTGCCTCTGGAGTATCTCAGGTTGACCCAGTGGACCGAATAATAATTCAAGATGATAACATCCTATCCTCTCACGTCTGCTCTATGAACAAGCATGAAGTTTGCCTCAGTGTAATAATGCATCCTGAGGAGTCGGATAAGAAGCAGGAATCATCCCTTTGTGAGGCTGTACAAAGTACAGTAACTGAAAACAACTCTGAAGAAGCAACTCCTCCCACAGAAAACTTTCCTCCTGTTCAGAAAATACAGAGGAGGGTCAAAGTTTATAAACACAAAAGAAGGAAAGTGGACACTCTTGTGAAACATGTAAAGCCAAGTGACATTCCTGATGACTCCATGCTGAAACTTTTTCAGTCAAGTGATAACATGGAGGTGGAATTTCTCGGGTTTTAAGGCTTGGCAAAGGAAAACAAATTACCGGTAGCTTCAGGGAAAAGCGATTGTTACCTACTCGATTTCAAGAACCACACCACAGATTGTGGCATTGACTCTGCAAGCCTAGACCTAGATCTTTTTGGTCTTTAAACATAAGTTTAATACAGTGTGAGTAAACACACTGTACTATTTTTATTTGCAGGGTTTGTATCAGATGTAAAGCAGCAGCTGATTTGCTGAGGTTTAAAGCATTGAGATGTATAACTTAAAAGAGGTGAACTAGAAAACAGCAAAACATATTTTGTGCTTACTAAAGCTAAAATGTTTGAAAATATAAAACAATGTGATATTTTGACTGTTTTTTTGAAAGGCCTTTATTATCACATTTCAGTAACATCTATTGTCTTTATCTAAATCTTCTCTGGGATGGGTAGAAATCAAATTAGGAGAATTGATAACTGGTCATTCCTTTTACATTCAGCTGCTGATATTTACATTAACACTGAAAAATGTAGAGTTCTGCCTCTAAACTTAAATGAGTGCCAATTTATGTGGTCATGTTTTTTTTTTGTATAAGGTAATTGTCTTTGTGACATGTCCATAAATAAAACAAATGGCAACTAATAACGGCAGGTAAATCCAAAGGCCCATCTCAAAATATTAACAGGACCTTTTTTTCCTTTCAGTTCTGAACAAAAACAAGCACTGTATTTTCAACAGCCTGTGAACAACTTAAATATTCTGTGTTACTCAATGAACTTTTACAAAAGTGCTTTTGTCATTTAACTGTTTCTGCATGTGGTCTGAATATTGACTGTTCAGATAAAGCATTAGAATAAGGGAGAAGGCAGCTGTAGTCATGATGTTTTGCATGTTTACACAATCGTCTAAATGAATCTTTACAGACAGGGGGAACTCATTGTATGTATGAAATACATATAGTTGATCCATCTACTGATGAGAATGACCTGCAGGTTGGCTGTGTGGTACTTGGCATTATGTATGACATTTTTAGGAGTCTTCCTAAGTGCACTTTAATGACCTGCCTTCTTGCGCCTTTTCTGATGCATTAGCTCAACTTCACCCTTTTCTCCCCGCGCTTAGTGCATTAGCCCGGTGCCCTTGTTTCCTCACTGTCAAATGGATGCACTGTGTCAAAAAGGGAGTCTTTGCCATTGGCATCAAAAGACAAAACATTGTGTTCCAATGCAAATGGACAGCAGTAGAGCAGCAAAGGAAAAGGGAACACTGATTGCTTGAAGATGACTTTATTGTCTTCAGTTGCTCAACATACCAATACTTTCTCTAATTCCTGGCGGTAAATGAAGAGAATTTTGGTTTTAGACTATTGCTTAGAAAAATAAGCATTTTGTCACTTACAGTGTGATAAATAGTGATGGGCAATTGTCACATTTTATAGACTGAACTAGTTGCAGCCCTACCTTAAAAACAACCTTATAAAAGTCAATTGTCCAAAGTGTTTTGTTTTTTTGTTTCTCCTGGTGGCTGGTGTCTTTTCTGCTTACACACTTACACAATACTGTACACATTTGATCAGACCTTGTCTTACTTGTCCTTATAAGTCTTAAAACGGATGTCACTGACAACATGCAAACTATGAAAGCCCCAAATCTGGTTGTGGGATTTTAGTAATTATGTTTTTTTTTTGTTTGTTTGTTTCAGTTATCTCGCTTAAGGTTTTCTAAGGAATAGAGCGTTCCCTGAATGTAAATTGTCTGGTGTCCGTCCACAATAAAGATGAACTGGCTCTAAAATCTGTCACAAATGTGTTGAACTTTTGCCTCAGAGCAATATCAGCTCCCCCCTGTAAACAAGCACCATGTGTCTGGAAATAAATATTGGCTCTGGGGCAAATCCACACCTGCTCAAATCATCAGGTGTGTACATATATAAACAACTGTGTCGATCGTTGACAGTGCCATGTGGGATCAGTTTCAGATGAGGGTGCATAAATTGTAGAAATTAACATGTCACATAGGCTTTTCGAACATGTTTCATTTTGGTCTTTATGGCATCAGTGTAACAAATGTGCGGATATGTGAGAAATATTGTTCCAGCAATAAGAGAAAACAGTATCACAACACGCGCTCACACAGGAATCCATTAAGTCTGCTTTTTTTTTTTTGGATTCCTGACAGACGACTAACTCGTAACAGAACTGGACAGGAATGGCGCTTCTGCTGCAATTGAACATGGAGGAAAATTAAACGAGGAGAAGGAAACGGGCGTGGATGTTGGTCCAGCAGCTTTCCTCCATCCCGTCTCCACTGCTCGCTCATATTTATGCATTAGGCGTTTCTGCAGTGAGCTGCTGGATATTGATGTGTTTTAAGGAGGTGTTCCCAATCCTCTCCTCCCCTTCATCCATCCCTGCCTTCCTCCCTCTCTCTCCCTCCCTCTCCTCCCTGCCTCCACCGCGCTGCTGATCCGCGGGATCTCGGTGCGCTTTCTCTCTCAGACGCGCTCGGCGTTCAGACTCACAAGGACCCCGATGGCCCCCATCCAGCGGGACTGCGCTAACCAAACAACCAGCCCCGGTTTCCAGCTCCCCTAGCGAAGGCAGGACCCTGAGATCCTGCCCCTGGAATACCGCATCGTTTTATAATTTCCAACAAAAGAGAGAAAGAGGACGGTGATGATGCTGAGGATGCGCCCGCGATGGTGGATTTCCCTTTTGTGCGTCTGTGGATTGATGCACTTCGGTCACCAGAGCAGCCCCAATGCCCAAAATGGTAACTGATGCTGTTTCAGATATGCTATTAATTGAATTGTTATCGCGCAAAAGCGTAAAATCCTCATAAATAGGCCTGTGTTGTTTTTTAAAATCATACCACCGTCTACCTCATGATCTCCATCTGAAATATATGTAGCTTGTGGCTGGTTCTTGTGATCAAAGGGAAATGGGGAGCAATCGACAATTTAGATGGCGCTGTTTGTGATGAAGGTATCACTCGTGTTATAAAATCAATGTTTTCCTCTTCGTCTCTGTGCAGGAGTCGCCTTGTCGAGCTTGAAGGCTCTTCGTGATGCAGGCAGGTTCATGGGGAAGGAGGACACGGTGCCTCTCCGCCTGCTCTACAGCAGACACAACCACAGCCAGATCACAGAGGACGAGCTCAGCACCAGGGTTAGAGCCAGCTCCGGATCCACTCAGGTAAACCGTGTTTTCAGCCAGGGGAGTGTCTACATGCACTGCTGTGTGTGTGTGTGTGTGTCTGCTTGTTTATGTTTTGTACATCCCTGCCCTCATCCTCAGCGGGGGAAATTAGAATACACTGCGAAGTGAATTAAAAAACAAAACAGGAAAAGCCTGAAACATTTAGGCACAGCCAAGCTGCTCTAATTAGACTGTCTTAGCATGCTATTTGGGTCATTGTTTTACATATCCCAACAGCAGACCATCCTGTCTTTTATTTAAATCAATTACTCAGCATGTCCTCATGTCCACTTTGTCAACACTGTGCATTTAGAAAATCACCAGCCATGGTCTTCTGGCTGTCAGTATAATTAATAATTCAGTGATAACTTGCATTTTGTGTGCCCAGCTGGTTCGCTGTCCCAGCAGCCGTCTCACCTACATCAGCTCATATCTCATATCCCATTAAGCAGCATTTTCACTGTATTCATGAATGAAAGAGACTAAAGATAAGCTGTTAGAGCTTGACCAGCATGTCTGATCTGACTATATTGTCACCAGGTTTAACGTACCATCTCACGGATATAATGGGATATGTGTTTATATCGTCTGATATGTATTAAGAGCAGGCTGCAAATGAAAGATATACTACAATAAAGGTAATGAGAAATAGTGTTATGTATACATAATCTCTCCACCAGAGGGCAATCACAGGTTTTTTTCACCCCACTGTTAAATAATCCTCTTTGGTACTAAAAGTCATAGAAGGTATCCTTATAAAATATGTCTTGTGTATTGTGTCATACACTACCATCTTAAACTAGAGCATTAAATTGGCGTGGATTTTAAAAGCAGGATAAAGGATCATTAGACGTTTCTCTGCTTAACACTTCTGATCAGTGGATTGATGTAAGATTTGTTTGTTGTCTGTCTTTTGTTCTGTCTGAAACTTGTATGCTGCTGTCTTGGCCAGGAAAAAGAGATCTTTTATCCCAATGAGAATATTTTCCTATTTTAAAAATAGGTAAAATAATACAAAAGAATAGCACATTTTCTAGCTGAGTAAAACACTGGTGGCTAGCAAATAAGCAGGCTCTTCATGGGTTAAGCTTTTATAATGTTTTGTAAATGAATATCCTCTACACTGTAAACAAAGTTATGCACAAAGCTTCAGGTAGTTTTCTTAAAACCAGGAACAACCATATTGATCATCGCAAAAAAACTTTATATTGAACCATTTGGCCTGATACTGTGTAATAATAATCCCAACCTTTAATTGTGTTCACTGACTCAGTTCAGTGAAGCAGGATGTCTGCTGGGTTCATTTCAACAGATGAGTCAATTAGCATTGTGCAAACCTGTCATGCGTTTTTAATTTGTTCGGCTAAGGCTTGTGTTGGGATAGCCTATTCAGGGCCCAGAGAGTGGAGAGGGCTACAGATGGTAGCAAGCAGGGAGGTGGCGCTAACCCTTTGTCTCTCTCACACCTCAGACAGAGCTGCAGCTCGATGGGTAAACAAGCTAACAGGAACCATCTGCCATCAGATATGATTTTAATATTTTCCTTTTGAAGCAGATACTCATCCCCATCGCAGGTTTATCACACAACATAGTCTTCATTTGAACTGGATTTTAAAGACAGGAGGCTATTTGCTTCAGAGCGAGAGAGATTTAAAAAGACAAACATTTTATACTGTAAAGAAGATTTGCACAAGCTATTTAACATCCAGCCGAACCCCTCATGTTTTCAAGACACAGGTGAGTGTATTTCCTGCGTTTACAGCTCGGGGGATGTATTTATTTAGCTGTAAAATAATTTTAGAATAACTTGGATATTGGAAATCAATACGTCAGAAAGTTCAAACCATGCTTTAAAATAGGCTAAATGTTGCGCATGAGGAAAAGAGCAAGGTAGGAGGGAGAGGAGACAGACATTGCTATCCTTGATTTTGTTTCTGATCTTCTGAATGTCGTATTCTCCAGAGAGTTGCAGATAGTGCAATCATCCTTGATGTCACTTGTACAAAGTTTGATCAGTTATTGGCTGTTTTTAGATCAACAGCCTAAAAACAAATCTGTCAAGTAGATCTAAAAATGTGTGACACAGGAAGTTATTTATAGCATTCTGTTGCTTTGCCTATTTTCAGTCTCAGACACAAACAGCTTCACCACTGAATGAGCAATTGGGAGTTCAGCAAAGTGCTCCTGATGTTTTGGTGAAAAAAAGAAACGCTTCAAGTGGAATCAGCCAGAATGTGTGTGTATCTGTTGGTTTGTATGATTGCTTACTGTGTGTGTATATGTGTGTGTGTACAGCATATTAACAGCACTTAGAGTCATACTTTGAGAGTCAGAGTGGAAAGTCAGGCATGCTGTTACTCAGAAATCAATGTTGGAAAGATCAGTGGTAGCATCAGAATACTGGCTCGGCTCAGTCAAGCTGGGATGTGCTTTCATTAAACACAATTACTGGTACCTTCTCCCATTATGGATCCAATCTGCCAAAATAGATTTCATCACAAGCGTGCCATGGAAAGGGATTGCCCTTTGAATGTGCTCACACACACACACACACACACACACACACACACATGCCTACCATCTCTTATATTCATTGGCAACGCAGAGACACACTCCTACAAACAAAAGAGTCTGTGGTCACTTGGGACCTCACGGGCTAAGGTCGTCCTTGAGCGAACATATAGGCACCTCCTCAAACGGAAACAAAAAGGAAAAAGAAAAAAAACCTACACACTCCCCTCCTCCTCTCGTTGTCATGCGGTGTCCGGTCTGTAATGAAGGTGGTAGCCCTTGGGCTCAGTCTGGGGGGGAGGGTAGGGTGAGATGTGTTTTAGTTCAGCTCTGGGACTCCCCCTCCACCTGCACAGGAATGAATGTGGGGAGATCTCATTGACCCAAGGGTGTGTAATAAAGCCTGTACCATATGTGCCCAGAGCTGAGAATAAATTCAATCCCTAAATCAATCACACAAAGCACATGCACATTTCAATGCTGCAGGACAAAAATATGGCTTGAAAGCATTTCTGTTATTCTATGTCTCTGTTACCTTTATACAATTTGGTCTGATAAACATAGAAACCAATAGGCATTTACTTATAATTACAAAAGGCTGCATTATGTTTTCTACATACATCACAAACTGCAGAGACATTTAGATGGCAAACGAAAACGATATTTTCTTACTGCTGTTGGTGTTCAAAAAAGACAATACAGCCATCCATCAACGTGGACAAGAATTGATCATAACATGCTGATGAACTGACCATATATAATGTAGCCTATGCATTTATTTAAGAGTAATTAACCTGTCTTCTCTGCTTTTTTTTTTTAGGTAAACCACGTGGCACAGCAAGCTTTCAAGTTGAAGCTTTTGGCAGAATATTCATCTTGGATGTGGAACTGAATCAGTGAGTATTATATTATTTCATCTTTTTTTATGGCTATCTGTCTTAGTGAAAGCTTTCTGTGTCTGGTTACCAACCAACTACATATCTGGCTGGCTTGCTAGCGAGCATTATACAGTAACTCTCTGTCACTTTCTGTAGTTTTTCTTTCTGTTGGTCTTGCAGTCTATTTGTCTCGTTAGCTAATGGCTGTTTGTCTGATAAGCTATATAATAGCTATGTTTTGCTGTCAGCCATGCTGACTACATACCTCTGTGTTAGAAGCTAGCTATTAGTTATTGTCTGTGTGTGTGTCAGCTGAGTCATTTGTCTGTTGGCAGGCTAACTATCTGTCTGTCAGTCTGACTATCTGTCTGTTCGTCTACCAAGCTAAACTATAAGTTTTGGGTTAGCTATTAGTCTCTCTGAATCCAGAAATTCATGAGCTAGCTAATTGTCTTATCAGTCCTGTCATCTTTCTGTTGGCCTGGCTAGCAAGCAAGCTAGCCATCTATTGTTTGGTTATCTAATCGTGTTTATATCTGTCTGTGGAGTGACGTCTTCATAGAAGTTGAGTCAAGTATATTTGACTTTCTGACTCAGAAATGATCTCAGCAGTAGTCGAATGTCATTCTCTGTGGCCTGGACAACACTTTTTGTCAGTGTTGTTCTTTAGCAACTAATTAGCACATAACAGACATCGATATCCTGTATTTGTGTGAACTGAATGTTGGTCATTGTAGTACTGCAACCTTTTGTCTTAGTGCGGGTCATTGCTCCTATTTGGTAACCCCTGAGCATTAATATCTTATTCTGATGGAGGTGCGCCATTATTTGATGAATGTACATGCATCTATGTGTATATGTGTATGTGCAGCACTTAGGTATTGTTTGTGTGTTTGTGCATGATTTAGAGGTTCCATCATAATACGAAGTGATTTATGGTAAAGGCCGAAGCACTGCCCTGTCAGACTGATATTGATCACATCTTAGCTGATGGAAAGTAACTCTCTCTCTCTCCTCATTCTCTCTCCTCTCTCTCTCTCTCTCTCCTCTCTGTGCTTTTTGAACGCACTTTTTGGCGTCTTCCTTATAAAATCTCTCTTTGGTTTTCTTTCTGATTCCCTGTGTCATGCATTGCGAGACCAGGGCTTGTTTGTCTCATTTAACCCATCAAAAAAAGGAAGTCTGTGAACTTGGCAAGCACATAAGGTGATGCTTCCTGCTCATCACAGTGGAAGTCACTCCCCTACTGAGTGAAATGTTACATCACAGGAATTCCCAGGTTTAGGGGATTTGTTTCTGTAAAGCCTGCAGCTCACTGCTTGACGTATCAGCCAATCATGGAAATAAAGTATGTGTCTGCACACACACAAACATATCAGCACGCCAGCACAAGCCCACTCACTTTCATCAGCACTTGGATTGATGGATTGAGTTGTTATTTATCTGTGTGACATTGTAGGCCAAGTTGTTCTTTTCTATCATTTCTGAACTTTCCACCAGAATAACGTCTGCAAGCAAACACTTAAGTGAAGTGTTGTTTTTAACTCAGCAGAGAGTGAATTAGCCTCATCAGCCAGCTCTTGGCCACAGTTTGACATGTGTGGCACTGAATAAAAATGTGAGACCGAGATCAGTGCAATAGAGCGTTGTTCTGTGTGATGTTAATCTGTTTTTGTCCTTCAAGACTGAAACATCAAGCACAAAAAAACTGTGCAACCATTTTGACAGTCAATTAATCTTTGTCAACCATAATACCAGAAAGATGCAAAGAGAATAAATATTGACTGTCAGGTTAACTTATAATCAAACAAGATCAGACAATTCCTTGTTGGAGCTTCTCAGCTGTGAGAAATGTCTGCATTTTGGTTGTATTTGACACTGATCTAAATGTATCTTTCAGGTTTGTGACTGTTTGAGGTTACATACAACCTGACCCCTGCCATCAGGCTTCTGGAAACAGATCAGTGTTTAAAACTTAATTCAATAAATGTATAGCCAAGGATAAAATGATCAAAAAATAGGAGGATCGACTAGTATCTTGGATGGTTTGTTGGACAAAACAAGTACATTTAGGCTGTAAAAGGTTGTGATGGGACTTTTAAAAAACCTTTTTAAAGCATTTAATTGATAATAAGAAATTGACTTTTTGATAAAGGTCAACACATTCATTGATACAATAAATCCAATACACAGTAAAGATCAGTCTTCATCCCAGCCCCATTTTCGCCCTTTGTGGGAGTAGTTCTCTATCCTCTCTCTGTGTCTAAATGTGTACAACTGAGATTCCTTCTCCTCATCCTGCCACTGCCCTCCTCCTCCTCTCCTCATATACCAAACTCCAGACAAATAAACTCAGCTCATGTGTGTCTGTGGGTGCAGGAGTGGGAGGTATTTTGATTCCCAGAAACACAGTTCTCTCATTTTGGATCCATGAGTGATTTAGCTGCGGTTCATTTTTTTTGTTTAATAGTTGGTATGAGCCTAAAAAAAGGTGTTTTTTTCAGCATTATATGTAATATGTGTCAGTTGATCTGCAGTGCCTCATAATCATTATCCTCCTCTCTCCATGAGTCTTAGCCTCAAGTCATTGTTTTGCCGTAGACTGTGAGTAATAGAAGTGTGGGCGTTCAGTTATAAAGTCATATGTCTTGTGAATTTGAAGCACATGTATCTTCAGAGAACATGTTTGTTCTCAAGTGTACATTTTTAGCCAAGTGCTCTAAGTTTCAGATATCGAAATTCATGGAAAATTTCTTGCTAAGTGCTTGTTCTACAATGTTTAGCACTATTAATAATGTTGATCTATGGATGACTGTCCAAAGAATAGTCCATCACTGAAATATGTCTAAACATAAAGGATAGACACAAGCCAGGAAATGTGTTTCAGATGTTCATGGGCGTCTGAGGATTAATCTTACTGACATCAATGTTCACCAAACCGTTCATTTAACATGAAGTAAAAGTTTATGTCTGATTTGTGACCAAATATCTGAAACCCATGACATTTCTACGATTAAATTTGAAACATGTTAATTTTGAGTTATTTTTGGTCAAATGTATTTATAGTGAATTAAGAAGCATGTGACATATTCATGGTCCAATGCTGGCAGTCATGCTCCACACAGTGAAACTTACAGATTTAAAGAAGAAGAAAAAAGTAGTCAGTGTTATGATTGTCAGTTGCAGGAAGTGTATCCTAATGATGGATTTAGGAACCACTTCCTTCCAAATTCATGCTCAGCACAATTTAAAGTGGGCTGCATAAAAGTTTACAATGGGAATGTTCCATTTAAGACACATCAAGCGTTATCATTTCAACTACCCATGGGCTTGCTAGTATACTTATGTTAGTTCACTGCTCTGTCCAAATGCTGTCTTACAGAGTCCCTAACATTGCAGGCGGCATGATAACACACAGTATGTGATATCAAAGAACAACTTCAATCCACGTGACTGTGTTTGATTTGTTCACAATGATGCAGGTAGTCAATACAAGCACGAGGAGGTACCTGTGAGGTATTTGTTTGTAAAAGAAAGATTTGAAATGAATGAATTTTATGCAGATAATTGTCAAATGTTTTAATGTGCTGTAGTTATTAACCCTTTCATTGGCAACATGCTGTAATGACCCAAGCCACACATCTGAAGTGTGACTGTTTATAGAGAGGAAGTCAGGGGGGTGGGTTGGTAGGTCATGGGGTCTTTACTCCCCCTTGCAGTCTTTGTCTTCTTCCTTACATCCTCAATCTCAGCGGCCTCATCCTCATCCTCATTCATGGGACCAGAGTGGGTTGAAAATGTGCACATGATGGGGGGTTGCCTCACTTTTTCATCACACCCACACACACACATAAACACACCCACACCCACACACCAACACACTCATCTTCACCCTTGATTGCCCCTCCCTCCTCACGCTCTCCATTCAGCCGTACCCCAACTACCCCTCCACCCCGCCTCTTCCACCTGCTCTTGCTGAATAATAGATGGTGCTTTAAGATTAAAAAAGCGTCTAAATACTCGTGTGTGTGTCTGCACCGGTTTCCGGCTTGTCCAAGGTGTGTCAAATGGCCAAAAAAGGATGACTTGCAGTGTTACATATAACTACTTTCTTCAAGATACAATAGTAAATATACTTTATGTGAATCCATTCCAAAATCCATTCAAAATGCACTCTAAGAAAGGAAAATAGATATTATTGAGGTGCAGCAATAAGTAAATAATTTAATTAAATCAGTGCTCATATTGAATTGTCACTCAATAACTATTGATTAAAGTGTCCTGAATTCCTGCAATCTATCTACCAAACTCCTTTGTTGCTGATAATAAATGGTACGTTTCTAGGTAGCAGCTTGTCTGTGATTAAGTGTGAAAGGTTCTGTGACTGTGAGAAAAACAATGATCAGAGTGGACATGTCTGTGCTATGTTACACTCATACGGTTTATAGGTTTTGTATGTTTGACAATATGTGAGTGCAGATGGACAAGAAGAACACATGGGAACAACTGACACACACACGAGTTTCATAACCTAGTCTCCTAGTGTTACGAAATGATGATCTTCTGCAACATAAAGAGGAGAGGCCTTCTCCCACCTCTCATGTTGACTCTGTCAGACATTCAGTGTTGTTTTATTTCTACTGTGTTGTGCTCTCCATCTTTATGCAAATACTGAAGGGTCAATTACAGGCAATGGCAAATACATTATTCATCTATGTGAAGGGTGTGTGTGTGTGTGTGTGTGTGTGTGGGGGTGTGTGTGTGCAGTAGGGTTGACAGCGTTAGTGTGGAGGGGGTTGAAGGGGATACAACACTGATACAGCCATGGGGACCCTCCTCATACTGCCTATATGTTAGGCAAGATGCAAATCAAACATCCGATGGTTGGCTGGTTTGATGAATGTGTGCACATGTGTTGGTACGCCTGGGATTGAGCAAGAATGTGTTTGTGTGTGTGTGTGAACAGAAGAAGGTTGTTTCTACCATTGCAGTCGTTAAAATGACCCCTGACAAAGTGT